CGAGCAGTATTAAACTCCAAAGTTAATATTTATTCTTCTGCAGCATACCAATTCTTAGATATGATGGCTGGATTAGTTTCCTTTTTAGGCTTTCTTCTACTGTATTTTCATCTGTGATTCAGCCAGCAAGTCTATTGTGTTTCAGAAGCTCAAGGTCTCCTGCAGAATGTATTAGTTTACATGGATGGGACCATCTATTTACCACTGGAAGGGTGATTAAATGATCAACTTTTATTTATTTTTATTTATTGGTGTAAGACATTTAACCCAAAAGGAAAAAAACTGTTTGCAAGCTTGTAGCTGATCATAAAGTATGAGCTGAAGTTTGGCTTCAATTTGTTATTGTGTTCAAACATGCTAATACATTTAACACTCTCAGCCCCCCTGCCACATACTGACAATGCTGCTGTCTGCTGTGTCCTGTGATCATTTCTCCATAGTGGTGTCTCACTAATACTGTATGTGCTATTGGCCAGACCTCCAGATAAAAAAAGAAAAAAGAAAGCCTCAAAAAATAAAAGTGATGCAGCTGCCACATCTAATAACTGGTAAGCTGTAAAGTAATATATTTTGGATTTTGGATTTAATACCTCTTTAATCCTGTGAAGAGAATTCACTAGAATACTGGTGATATAGCATTTCAGTATCATATGCCTTTTTTTTAGTGGACCCCCCATAGTATAAGGTGAATAACTCAAGTTGGTAGCAACAGTAGCTCAGCTGGAAAGTTGTGCTCAGCCTGTCACTTGCATGCTGGGGATGGAAAAGAGGTTTTGCCAGGGACCAAGAAATAGTAAAGATCAGTCAGGTAAATAACCTTTCCTCCACCCAACATAAATTTCTCTGTTGGGTGAGATAGTACATAGTTGAGCATCTTTATTTTAATTTTAACGATTAAAAAAGGTGTTGTTGGCAATTTATAGAAACGTATAAGTCTTTGTAGAATCTGAGTGTTCACAATTTTCAGAACGTCATTTATGTGTGTGCGAGTGAGCTAATTACAATTGCTTTTTGCTAGCCCTTAATGCAATCATAGGTAGTTAGAGGATTTATTTTTACAGCTGTGCAAATGTGGGTTCAATCAATCATTGCCTCTGTCCTCGCATGGAGCTGAGGAGATTCAGAGCCGAGTCTGTGGATAAAATGTGACAAGCTCCATGGCTTTCTGACAGATTAGTACATAAATGTTACTACAGTGAATTGACAGTAAATTGACCACCAATTACAGAAACTCAGCATGTTTGTCAGAATGCGGTACAGCTGATTTTTTGAGCGGAGTTCACAGTCAACCACTAGGTTTCCATTCAGTCACAGAACCAGAGAGTTTGTAGCTTGGGAAAACGGTGTTCCTTAAATAGAAATTGGAATTTTAATTACATACCTGCCTTTACCAGCATAAGTCTCACATACAGTATACTGTAGAATCTGAAAATAACAAATATGTAATGTGCAGGGTAGAGGTCAATGATGTGTCAGTACAGTGGGAAGGTTTGAAATTTCTACCAGGTCTTTTTTTTTCTGTGTCCCCATGGAAAGATTGCCTTATCCCTTGTTCTGGGGACAACACTAAAGTTTCTCTGTGACAATGGTCAAGAGTACTAATAGAGGGGTGAATCTACCCAATAGGGACACAGACAGCATTTAAAACTTGACAGATGGTTCAACCCTTCCCCACTCTATCCAAAACTAAAAAAAAGGTTTTGCCTAGGGATACTATTTAAATGGTCATTTTAAAAGCTTGGAGGCTAGTCTTGCTAACCTCTCCTTTGAAAATGATAGTTCACTGGCTGTCCTCCTCATGCTTTGACTTCAATGCTTTTTGAATCTTTGATCCTGAACAAGTAAAGAAATAAGGTATTCTGACACTTTTCTGACACTCAATTACATCATGCTTGTTCCAGATCTGCGATTTAAAAGTATTGAAGCCAAACAGTAGCATTTTCAAAAGAGGGCCCCTGATGGTATATCTGATACACTTCTTACTTTAAAGAGAATGTAACATGTTTTATACACTGTACAGGATGCCAGAGATGCATCCTGAATAGCAGGTATATTTCCCCACTGTTTGCATTGCGGTCCCTTTAAGGGGGGTGTATTTAAGATAATGTTGAGTACTCAGGGGTTCCCACTAATACACGGTGAGGGGATCGGGGGTAGTCTAGGTAAAGAGGATTTTCAGTCTAGGTAAAGATGATTTTCAGTACTCTTTGGATTGGTATGACCTCATCAGGGACTCAGAATTTCGGAGTTTCAAAGAGTTTTGGGAGGGAACAACCTCAAAACATTGATTACAGGGACTTTGGTACTAAAGGAAGGGGTTTATTCAGGTGCATCAGAGTCCAGAAAAAAAGAGGAAACAGCCAGCACCTGTCTGATAAGGAGACAGAAGGATACACCTGAATGTGCAGAGTGGGCTAGCTTTGGAATGAACCAAGGTTGCTAAACTGTGAAAGCCTTCTCTTTGGAACCGCTGAAACAGATGGAAAATTTCAAACCCCAGTGTGAGCCATTCTTTTGACTCTGTTGATCCTTGGCACTCATATCACAATACATTTTCTTTAATGATTATGGTGAGTAGTAAAAAAAATATAATTCCAATTCATGTTTTCTTTTTAGGCAGGTAAACAAGCACTTCTTGCTTACTGGACATGAAAACATTAAATATTTAGATGCAATTTTTCATGTTTTCATGTCCAGGAAGCAGGAGATGCTTGGCTATTCGTGTCTTTCAGCCTAAAGTAGCTTGGTCATCCTTTCACTATCCACTGCAAACTGCAAAAATCTACCCCCAAATTTCAAAGAGGGAGTGCTTAAAATTCCCCAAATTTTTATGAATTCTACTTTTTTTAAAAAATTCTTTGTACTCCTTTAAGCCATTTACTATATATATCCTTTTGATGCTCTAAGTTCTTTCCAGTCACATTTGTCCATAGAAGCACAACCTAAGGTAAAATTATGAGCTGGAATTCCTTAGCTGCACTTGAGGAATGTCTAACCTTTTTAAAATATGTTATTGGTCACTCAGTTTGCTGCAAATTATTACATTTTCTCATATAAACTCTCTGCAAAAATAGGTGCTTTCAAAACAATCTCTTCCCATAGAAAAGCTTTTGTCAACTATTGACTGTGGTGTCCTACAAAATATTGGTCTTGCTCATTTTCCCTAAAACTTTTTTTCATCCCTTTTACTAATGGCACATCTCTCTTACCACATTTACACATAGCAATAAAAACACTGCTTTTAAGTAAAGTGGATTTTAAGTGATAAGTGTATCACCTAAACGCCAAACTTTCAGCATTAATTGTTGGCTAACACAGTACAATTCTCTGCCACTACTAGAGTGGCACAAGTAGAGTTTGGAAAATCAGAACCTCTATCATCTTTTCTGTTTCAAAACCCTTTTTTATTGTTTTCTCAATAAACAAAATTAAAACATTTCCTCAGATTAGAGGTCAAAGTAGATAAGAGATACCATAAGTTGGAAGCCTCAGAAAGTGTACAATATAAATACCAATCAAGGGAGCAGATAAAACATAAAAAACCATGTCAGCCAATCTGTATTTCTGGTATAATGAGGGTCTAAGGTTTCTTTATGGTTCTCCAATGTTCTAGATTCTGAGCATATTAATACATTTGCTAGTGGCCATTATACAGTAGCAGTAAAATATTCCCAACATCCAGAAGATTACTTTTGATCCTCTATCATCTTTTCATTGCTGTCCTTGTCTCCATTGGAGATTTGTCCTAACAGTCTGATCAGGGGCGGACTGACAACTCATGGGGCCCCCAGGCAATAAGGGATCATGGGGCCCCTGTGTCCTTGTCCAAACTCAAAAAAGCCTATCAAAAAGGTACCAGGGGCATCTCATGGGGCCCCCTACAGACCCTGGGCCCTCGGGCAGTGCCCGAGTTTCCAAATGGTCAGTCCACCTCTGAACCTGATCATGCATCAGCATTGCAAACTGAGGGAATATCTCCCAAATAGGCCACAGACAAGAATAAAAACCTGCATAGAGTTGATGACTTCTAGCTGGTCTTCCAGTACAGAGCTAGACAGAAGGACAGCAAAGTTTAAAATAACGTCAGTACAGTTACCAATGCTACTTACTAGCACCCCTGACAACTGTAGGCCAAAATATCAGCTGAGAGTTGGGCCAACTGCTTGTACAGAGAGAGGAAATTCTATAAATAGCCATTTTGGCAAAAGTTTAGAAATTAATATATTTCACATCAAATTTATTAAAACAAGGGACTACTTTGAAAGCGCAGATCCCAATTAAATTATTTACAGTTTCATAATTTCCGTAGGTCCCTAGTCAAAATCCAAATATGATAAGACATTTTCTTGCATGTTCTGTGCCTTATTAGCCAGTTAGTTTCTAACATTGGAAGTATCTGGATTTTTTTAACACTTCCCAGACTTTTGTCCAACAGGAACCCAAGTGACCCCTCACTGTTCAGTGAATGCATGAATAGTCTTTGAAGATAGATAACTTTGGAGTATAAAAGAGAGAAGCCTTAGAACTCACTGTAAAATTGGAACATGTTGGCGCTAATAAAGATTAATGGCTGGAAAAGCAAGGCTGTTGTATAAACATTTAGAGCAAGGGCTCCCTCCCTTTAGAAAACATTGTTTCCGCTTTATGTCCTTGACATTTTTGTCTTTCCACCCTTCTTTTATACATATAAGTGTAGTATCTTGTTTATTATGTTTGGCTGCTGTTTTTTGAGCAGATGCGTTGTAAAAAAGATGTTGTGCATATCGGGGATAAAATTGAAGCTGTTCAAAGTTTTGTATATATGTAAAGGCATTTTTTAAAATTTTTAACAAAGTGGTAAGTAGTTATATTCACTGTTATTGCGTTCTGTATGTCAGCAGGGGAGATTCACCCTTCACTTTGAACTGCTGAAAAAATTTAAATCTAAAATTTTAGACTTGTCATGAGAGCAAGTGAAAAGGCAAAAATCTTTCAATGGGGATATACACTATATTGCCAAAAATAATGGATTCAGGTGTTCCAATCACCACCATGGCCACGGGTGTAAAAAATCAAGCACCTAAGCATGCAGACTGCTTCCACAAACATTTGTGAAAGAATTGGTTGTTCTCAGGAGCTCAGTGAATTCAATCATTGTACCGTGATAGGTTGTCACCTGTGCAATAAGTCCATCCGTGAAATTTCCTTGCTACTAAATATTCCACGGTCAACTGTTAGTGGTATTATAGCAAAGTGGAAGCAACTGGGAACAACATAAGCGTAGCCACGATGTGGCAGGCCACGTAAAATGAGCGAGGTCACCGCATGCTGAAGGGCACAGTGCGCAGAAGTGGCCAACTGTCTGCAGAGTCAAGAGCTAAAGACCTCTAAACTTTGTGTGGTCTTCAGATTAGCACAACAACAGTGCGTAGAGAACTTCATGGAATGGGTTTCCATGGCCAAGCAGCTACATCCAAGCCTTACATCACCATGTTCAATGCAAAGCACTGGATGCAGTGATGTAAAGCACGGACCCTAGAGCAGTGGAGACGTGTTCTCTGGAGTGACAAATCATGCTTCTCTGTCTGGCAATCTGATGGACGTGCCTGGGGTTGGCAGTTGCCAGGTGAACAGTACTTGCCTGACTGCATTGTGCTAAGTATAAAGTTTGGGGATTATGGTGTGTGGTTGTTTTCAAGGGGTTGGACTTGACCCCTTAATTCCAGTGAAGGGAACTCTTAAGGTGTCAGCATACCAAGATGTTTTGGACAATTTCATTCTTCCAACTTTGTGGGAACAGTTTGGGGATGGCCCCTTCCTGTTCCGACATGACTGCACACCAGTGCACAAAGTAAGGTCCAAAAAAGACATAGCTGAGTGAGTTTTGGTGGAGGAACTTGCCTGGCCTGCCCAGAGTGCCTGACCTCAACTAGATAAAACACTTTTGGGTTGAATTAGAGCGGAGTCTGCAAGTCAGGCCTTCTTGTTCGAAATCAGTTCCTGACCTCACAAATTCACTTCTAACAGAATGGTCAAACATTCCCATAAATGCACACCTAAGCCTTGTTGACAGCCTTCCCAGAAGAGTTGAAGCTGTTATAGCTGCAAAGGGTGGGCCAACTCAATATTGAACCCTACGGACTAAGACTGGGATGCCATTAAAGTTCATGTGTGTGTAAAAGCTGGCGTCCCAATATTTTTGGCAATATAGTGTATGTTAAAGTGACAACAGTCTAAGGCTCTGGTGTCAAACTTGTGGTTGGAGGGCCACATGCAGCTCTGTGACACTTGCTGTGTAGCACTTTACAGACCATAACAGTCGGAAGTAGGAGCATTCATTTGAAAATAAGCTGTATTGTGTAATTGCTTCTAGAAGGATAAATAGCTTCAAAAAGGAATAAATGGCTTGAAACGTGATTCCACAGTAGGAAAAGAGAAAATAAAAAAAAAATGGCTTACATCTGTTTAGGCAACCCAAAAGGGTTAAGAACATGGAACCTTCCCAGTGTGCAGGTGGGGAAACCAGGGAAAATGAGATTAAAAATGCTCACTCTCTATGCTTATGGGGTTCCCGCTCTGGATCCTCGGTTAGCACAAGAGGAGTCTGCAAAGATATCCCATTGGTGGTCTGATTGGCAGAGGTGCCCAAAGTTATAGTTCTAGGAATGGGTCGGAGTTGTACTGAACATCACATGTTTATTTCACTAAATAAAAATGTGTTTTGTGGCTTTAACTTGCCGCTTCTCCAGTTCATGGAATAACATTGATGTCTGTGGGGTAATATTCCATAGGGTACAAAGGGTATTAGATGTAAGAAATCATATACTACAATCAGGTAAAATATGATACAATATTATTTTTGTTTATTTAATTCAAAAAGAAAGATAATACATTATTTTAGTGCTGAACATAATAATAAAATTAAAAAGTACATTTTTATATAGCACATGTTAAAATTGTATAGTATGTAACTGATCTTCAGTACTTACAGCCTACTTATTCATTTGTTATAATTAATATCATCTTTCTGGAGAATTTCTATTGGACTTTGTTCTACAATTGATTTGTAGTCTAAGAACTTTTCTTAACCCCTCCATAATTCACAACCCTGTTAAATACTGTACATTGTTTTAAGAGTCTCCATCAGTTAAAAGTTTCTCCTGTTTGCTACATCTATTCCAAACACATATATTTTTGTAAAACAATATCCGAAAAGAAGGCAAGACAAAGCGATAAAAAATGGAAATATATTTCTTATTTTTAAAGTAATTATCTTTAAGTAAACTGTTATCGCTCAGTGACAAATGGATGTCTGCCTGCTTTCCAAGTGTTTTGCCATTAATCATCCCTTTTATTAGAACTTGGATTGGAAGAGGAATTACTAATTTCCTTCTTGTTAGCAATTTACAAATTAAGTCCTCTCATGTTTGGTTGCCCTTGTGTTCCCCCTTGAAAAATGTCTTCATTTGTATACAGTTCCAAAATATTGTGGAAAGAGAAATTGTGTAAGTGAAAAAGATTTAATAATGATAGGTTCCAAACAAGGACAAATTTTAAAGCTGAACTCCAGACAAATCTAAAAGATATAAATGAATGCAGCTCTGAATTCATTATTACATCGTTACATGTATATTTTTAAATGCAGGTAGTGTGAGTACCTCAATATGACCTGATATCAGCCTGTAGTCCCTGTACAGCAGATCTCAGATTGGGGGAGAAAGGGTCATGACAAGGAGCTGACAAGGAGCATGGGGATAGAAGGAGAAAGTGGAGTGTCAGAGGTTTGTGCTCATCACTGTGCTATTTCCATGGAGATAGAGCCATGACAGCCTAGGCTCAGAGTAAGTGGGTTGCTGATGGTGGCTGTCATTCAACCAGGAAAACTGAGGACATCTAGTGGTGGAAATGAAGTACTGCAGAGCACAGCTCTGTATTGAGGGTACGTATTGCAGTAAAAGTGTTTTTTAAATCTTTAAATTCACATCAGTCCCTAACACTTAAGAGATGTACAATCTAAGGTCCCTAACTTGCATTCATACATACACATACTAGGGCCAATTTAGACAGGATTCAATTAACCTACCAGCAAGTCTTTGGAGTGTGATAGGAAACCAGAGTACCTGGAGGAAACCCACGCAGGCTCAGGGAGAACATGCAAACTCCAGGCAGGTGGTGCCATGGTTGGGATTTGAACCCTGTCCCTAGTACTGCCAGGTGGAAATGCTAACCATTTAGCCACTGTTCTGCTCATGGTTCAATGTTTTCAATGCCCTACTGTACCTATTATACATGTTATAACAATTTCCTTAAAGACCACATTAGCATGACATATATAAATATCTATAGCACTAAAGAAGGTAAGGATCAGCAATGATATCCATGCAGTATTTAAAATTGACCTGGAGAGATTTTGTTTCACTATAAATGTCTTTGTTATACTATGTTCCCTTTTCTGTGACAACTGTTGGTTTTATGTGACTGTAAAATATTTTTTATGGTGCTTTAACATTAAAATACATATGGTGGGTGGCCTATTTAAGATAATTCTTTTAAATCCTAGAGTACACCAGTCCACCCCATTATATTGCTTTCTCTCATTGTAATTTTTACTGTGTTCTTGGAGTACCTAATACTTTTTAATTCTATATTATAGGAACACTTTACTAGACCCAGCAAAGTCTAAGCAGTAATCATGCATCACCAGTCATTATTGAAGACACTATTTACATGTGTGCCTCAATCACACTTCAGTCCACAAAAGCCTTAAAGTGGAACTGTTGCATGGCTATGCACGTTCAAGCAACGCATATTCTTAAGAAACAGTAATTGAATTTTTACCCTCACTGACCTCTGCAGCTGTAGACACTGTGGAGCAATGCACTTTAAAAGCTTAGAGCAGATGCAATGATGTAATTCATCATGTTCTTTCAGCAGCCCAGCTCATCCTGCTGCCTCTAGCAGGAGCTCTGACGTTTTCCAGCCTCTAATCACTAGTGTGAACAGAGAGCAGGAGGGTGTGAGGAAAAGGGTGATCTGCATAGAGATTTAATTTGCTTAGAGATTTATTTGAATAACCTTTGTGCTTCTGCTCTGAAAATTGTAGGATGAATTGATCCCTTCTACTGCACTATTAAAACAAAAATGAAAGCATATATCTTTTTTTTCCAAGGGTCTTCTGGCTGGTCTTGTGATGTCTCAGGTCCTTCCTCTTCTACTTCACCTGTTTTCCTTACTAGTACCCTGAACGGCGCTCACATAATGACTTCTGAGCACCGGTCAGTGCAGTAGTACTCTGAGCCACGCCTGCATGATGACACACCCTGGGGGTTTATTCATGGCAACCTGGGTTCAGAGAAAACGGATTGAAAGATGCTGGTCATCACTCAACTCAGAACATATTAACAAGTGCAGAAGTGCAGAATGTGCACCATCACGTACAGGGGTGGTCTTTCTGTGTTGACAGCTCAAGACTGAAGAAGCAATTTTAATATTGCCAGGCTTTTAATAAAAGCTTGAGGTCTGCTTTGTATATTTAATTGCTTGCTAAGACTATGAGAAAATTTAAATATTTAAATGTCCATTTCCTACCTATAGATAAACTTTAAAAACAGAAAGATGTAGGTTTCAGAGAGGAAGGTTAAACTGGCAGAATGATGGGTAGGACATGGATAGAAGATCCCTGCTGAATATGGCAGAAAGGGATAATTATAAACCTGTCATATAGAAAGAAAAGGTCCAGTTGACTCTAGTGCCAAGAGCATGAGCCTGGACATATTAGATAGGGGGAAATCTTAGGCGTGGCCAGGGTGAGATTTCACACCCATATACATTCAGGAATTGACTATCATTTTCTTAGAATAATTAATTGCACATAATATGAGATCAAATAGTTTGATGCCACCACTGTGGCCCAGTATATCCTGTGTGGCTACTGTATTCATTCCACAAAACACAAAATATGGGACACAAAATATTATATGTGGCAAAAAGCGCCATAAGTCCTTTATGGACTGCATAAAAACAGGCCCAAAATGGATTTAAAGTAAACAAAAAATGAACAAAATAAATAGAAAGATGTTAAGGATGCTGTGTCCTATCAACCTGCATAGTCAACAGAATTAGCCCCAAAATATTTTTCTTATCAAAGATTGGCCTAAACTCAACAACAGCAGGAATCATGTCAAATTGTTATAGATAAAGAATAAAAAAATATAGGGAACATTTAACTGTGTATAAAGGAATATTAATATATGCTCCCCCTCCCCCCCAACAATCACTAAGAAAACAGGCAAAGTTGATGGAATCATTTAACCTTTGTGGAATATGAGATTTTATTTCTGTAAATCCACTGGCTTTCTAATCTCAAAAAGCTCTAACTGAAATTCCTCCTTTAAATATGTTTGTGACATATATTTGAAACTCATAATGATAGTTTTCCATTATGACCCGCGTATTTAATTTTTCTTGCACATAATTTGGCATTCTTTGTAAAGTAAAATACGTAAACTCTGGGGAAAATTCTCTTGCAATGCACTACTTTCCCTGCAAAATGAACAGCCAATTTGCCTTCAATAAATCAATCCCATTTTTTTCCAAAATATAAACCCCGCTGCATTTGCACAAGCTTAGAAATTATACCTTTCATGTTGCAATTTGCAATCAAAT